CTGGAATTGTCTTGAAAAAGGGCCTTGTTCACAGTAGGAATTCAGTAATTAGTTATAGATATGAAGTGAAAATTGTTCAAAATAAAAACAGTCTGGTTTTGTTTCAAACGAAACAATCAACTAAAATGTTCTAGGTGTTTGATAAGATTTTAATATATTATAGATTCATACCCCTTCTCAAGTGTTTTCATGTTTTAAATTTTTACCTTGGGGTGAGACAACCACAAAGTAGCATTCACAATTTCTAGGAACTGGAAGCATTTCTTGTTACAAAAGATACTGTGACTTTTAATTTGCCCCCAGGTGCCATCCAGCTCTTACTAAATGTCACAGATCCTGCTGGCTCTACATAGACAACATTCTGTGTCTGGATACAAGGAACCCCTGCCCCTGTTACTGCATGGGGGGGAACCCCGAGGGATAGAGGGTAGGTTGCCATTTCTCCAGATGACCCGAGAGGACTCATCCGCTAATATGGGGACTCTTGAAATGAGGGGAAAAGCTGCGAAAGGCCTCAATGAGCTTAAGCAAAATAAAGCCAGCATGTGGGAATATTAATTTGAAAGAAGTGAGGCTTCTTGATAGGAGGACAATACATTCGCTAAGTGTCTCACACTGAGAGGTCTTCCACAGGAAAGGTCCCCCTCCTGCGGCCAGTTGGTTTGCCTTTGGCTGCTAGAGGAGAGAACCTGGCGGTAGTGCTCAGTGGGGAAGAAAAAAAAGAGTTGAAACTCCTATCCTTCCCAAAGGACCAAAACGCTTCCTTTCCCTGTGGTGCCAGCAAGAACCTGAGCAGACATCCAGTGGAGAAAGACTCCACTGACCTCCAGTTAAGCCCACAGGGTTCACAGGAGGGAACTAGCGCTTGACTCCCTCAGTCTGTGAGGAATGAGGAGCTTCAGGGAGGGGCACGGGCCCTGAAGCTGAAGGTGAGCCCTGGATGGGGGCAGCGCGGACAGAGGGCCATGGGGGGGGGGGGGAGAGCCATAAGAAAACGGGCAACAGGTACCGTGCAGCACCCTTTGCAAAGGCCTGCCCCGTGGGGCCTCAAGCTCTCAAGGTAATACAAGGGGGAAAAGCAGCTAGCAGAACACAGCTCCCAAATCCAAGATGCTAGGATGTTTTCAAATCTTAAAGTGTAAAGCCTGCTTAAACTTGTACTTGTATCCCCCGTGTACTCCATCATCAGGATAAAAAGAGATGAGGTAATGTTGGACCAGGAGGTGGCCTATCCCACACTCCCCACCGCCCCCGACTCCACAGTATTCTGCTGGGCGCTGACCCAGCCTGTTGTGTGTTTCTTGGTGGAGAGTTTGGGCTCTGAGAAACCATAAGGCTGATCCCCTGATTCTTTTGCCCAAAAGAGAGTAGCTAGAGACGGTCCCAGGGACCTACAGGGGTGGCCCTACCACAGAGATCAAACCTGTCCCCTGAACCTGATTTCTTTACCCCTTCCCCTAAGCAGAGCAGCCCCTCAACAATCACTTTTCAAAAAATGCTCAAGCTGCCCAGATAACTTTATTTAATAACTCCAAGTTTTCTTCCCAACAGATATCTGTGTGCTTCAAAAACCTCAGCCCTCTGCCCAAGATAAACAACTCTGCACTGTGTTTATGTTAAGAAATAACCAGAAGCTCTTTAATGAAGTCGCTGTAGAAGGGTTTAAACAAGCAAACTCCCCTCTCAGAGAACAAAAATTACAATGATCATCTATAGGGTGTGAAACAAAGGACCTATTCTAGGCAGAAAAGGAAAAGGAAAGAAATCTAGTGAGCTCACTATAAGCTCATTTATATCTGTTAGTTGTGGTTAATAATACATGCTTTTGGGGAGTCATATTTCCAACACTTGCGATGTTTTCTGTATCTAAAAATCTGTACTTGAATAAATCATTTTTAGATCCAAGTGATTGACTTCATGGTTTCCCTTTAATTAAAATTAAGTGCTTTTTAAAATGAAAAGTCATGTTTTTTAAAATATTTTCCCTTATCAAAATGAGAACTTATATCATTTCTCTTCCTATACCTTTTTCCCTGAAAATCCTGTTACCAATGGCATCCTCTGCTAATTCCCAGGATCTGTTCTTACTCTTGCATACAGAGAGAAACTTCCTCTCCTTCTTTCCCCATGCCTTCCTGGGAGTCCCATGGGATCCCTTACAAGTTCAAAGCCTCCTATGGTCTGAGGTGACGTGTGCCAGGGAGACGTGTGCCAGAAGTGTTGTGTTGGTGTTTCTGAGAGTAGCCAGGAAGATAGGTTGGTAGACCTGACACAAACATCGAGATGTTTCCAATTCTCCAGAGTACTGTCTATCCATGAACTGCCTATGGATTTTCACTCTCCAGCTATTACCAACACTAATTTATTAAGATTAAATAAAAGACTGTTAGAATCTCGGCCATGTAGTAAGAGAGTTTCTCAAAGAAATTGGGAACTTGAAGCAACCCTCAGAAAGTACCTCATTAGTAAGTGCTCCCTGGATTGCTATAGGAACCACTGGTTTCCAGTGTAAACCACCTAAGCCAATGGATCCAGTGTGGTAACAGGAACTGAGGAGAAGCAGAGTCCTCAATCCTTACCCTCCTGCCACATAGACACTCATGCTCATTAAAAGTTTGAGCCAGAATTATCTTCCTCTGTACATCTAACCCCAAGTGTGATTTTTTTTTTTTTAAGAAAAAGAGCGCGGGTGGGGGTTGGGGGAGCAGAGAGAGAGGGAGAGAGAATCTCAAGTAAGCTCCATGTTGATGTGGGGCTTGATCTCACGACCCTGAGATCATAACCTGAGCCAAAATCCAGAGTTAGACATTTAACTGACTGATTCACCCAGGTGCTCCCCTCCCAATTGTGATTTTTAAACTATATCATATCTACGATCTTTTTGTGGATCTTATAAAATCTGTGAACCTTCTCCTCAGAAAACAATGCTCATACATTCAGACCCACTAATTTCAGGGAGTTCACTGCCCCCTGACCTGAAGGAAATCTATCAGTGGACATCTTACAAACTCTTCCTCTGAACTTCTAAGAATTTTGTCTTGGAGCAGTGTTTCTCAAAGTTGGGTAATAGGTGGATCCCTCCGAAAGGGGGAAAAATGGACCTTAAATCTCAGAGAATGGTCTGCAGGACTCAGCTGAATAGAGTCACTGGAGACTCTAGGAGGGCAGAGTCCATTTGGTTGCTGCTGCATTCCCAGCACAAGATGAGATAGAATGGTGCTTGGTACAGAAACGTTAATCAATAACTACTTGCTGAATTCATTGAATAAATAAAGAGGCTTCTCAGTGACTCAGGAACTCAGGCATAAGCAGTAGGTTTATTTGTAGCCCCAAGAAGGGGATACCAAATGGCTCACTAGCATCCCCTGTAGCCATAAGTGGTGTTAAAACCAGCACACCAGAGAGATGCCTAATACACTGTCCTTATGATTTGAAGGTGCCAGATAAAATGAAGTTTGGGGAGAGCATTTTATGGTGGGTCCCACCATCACTTTTGAGAGATCTTTGAAGTATATGGTGTTCTGAACGACAAGACCTGGTTCCTAGCCCACCTCTGCAATTCTCTAGCTGTATGTCACCAAGTTAACTATATACTCCTCAGGCACAGCTTTATCTTGCGTGACATGGAGATAATTTATGCCTTTCTCACAGTATTGTTGTCAGAATCCAGATTTGCTACATTCCAATGCATTTCAGATTTTAAAGTCTCTATGGGGATATGAAGAACACAGAAATCTAAAGGTTTTTTTTTTTTAAGATTTTATTTATTTATTTGAGAGAAAGCATGAGCTGGGGAAGGGGCAGAGGGAGAAGCAGACTCCCCGTTGAGCGGGGAGCCCGACGCGGGGCTCGATCCCAGGACCCCGGGATCATGACCTGAGCTGAAGGCAGACACTCAACGACTGAGCCACCCAGCCGTTCCAGAAATCTAAAGTGTTTAATAACTGAGCCAGAGGTAAGTTTGAAAAGGGTTCACCATGAGCCAACAGCCCAGAATCAAGAGCAAAGATGGGCATTTGTGCTTGATTGCATGTGACAGGTACAGACATCTCTCTACTTCTCCTTGAACCTTGTATACACTCTTGATGCATTCAGAGAGTAAAAAATGACAGCAACCCATAAATTTGCCTGGAAAAAGCTACAGGTAAAGCCAGAAAATAGAACAGAGACACCTTCTGTTTTCATTTTTGTTTTGTTTTCTCACTCAGAAGGTCCCTGGTGTTGCTTGGGAAAGTCATACACACTGTCCAGTGACTGAAGGTGTTTATCCTGAATCCCACACCACAGCGGGGGCAGCGGAGGCAAATGTGGGGCTCTGGACATGCCCCTTCTGAGACACCGTGTGCTCACTCTGGGGAGCCTGGGGCCAGAAAGAAGGTGGAATATTTAGTCTCCCCTCCCTTGTTTGAATGATTCCTTGTATGCCGCACAGCAGGCAACGTCTGCGCAGCCTTCTGCGCACGGGCTGAGAAAGGATCCCCGGACAGGTTTAGACCCTCCCTGCGGAAGAGTGCTCACATGACAGCAGCCAAGTCACAGTCCCCGTCGGCTCTCTGGATGCGGCACAGATTCACTCTCTCCAGAAGCCTTCGGGAGACATGATGAGAAACCTCAGTGCAACAGCTGGAGGCAATGGGAAGTATGGCTGAAAGAAGAAAGAAAGAAAATGTTACATCTTGCAGGGTACCTGGGTGGCTCAGTTGGTTGGGCGACTGCCTTCGGCTCAGGTCATGATCCCAGAGTCCCGGGATTGAGTCCCACGTCGGGCTCCCTGCTCAGTAGGGAGTCTGCTTCTCCCTCTGACCCTACCCCCTCTTGGGCTCTCTCTCACTCTCTCTCAAATAAATAAGTAAAATCTTTAAAAAAAAACCCCAATAATCCAAATAAAAAATGGGCAGAAGACAGTAACAGACATTTCTCCAAAGAAGACACACAGATGGCCAACAGACACATGAAGAGATGCTCAAAAGCACTGATCATCAGGGAAATGCAAATCAAAACCACAGTGAGATATCACCTCACACCTGTCAGAATGGCTAAAATCAACACCACAAGAAACAACAAGTGTCGCTGAGGATGTGGAGAAAAAGGAATCTTCGTGCACTGTTGGTGGGAATGCAAACTGGTGCAGTCACTCTGGAAAACAGTATGGAGGTTCCTCAAAAAGTAAAAAATACAACTACCTTACAATCCAGTAATCACACTACTGGGTATTTACCCAAAAAATACAAAAACACTAATTCAAAGAGATACATGTAACCCTGTGTTTATAGCAGCATTATTTACAATAGCCAAATTATGGAAGCAGCCCAAGTATCCATCAATAGATGAATGGATAAAGAAGATGGAGAGAGAGAGAGAAAGAGAGAGAAAGAGAGAGAGAGAGTGTGTGTGTGTGTGTGTGTGTGTGTGTGTTGGAACATTATTCAGCCATCAAAAAGAATGAAATATTGCCATTTGCAACAACATGGATAGAGCCGGAGAGTATAATGCTAAGTGAAATAAGTCGGTCAGAGAAAGAGAAATAACACATGATTTCACTCATATGTGGAATTTAAGAAACAAAACAAAGAAGCAAAGGTAAAAAAAAGGAAGGAAGGAGAAAGGAAGGAAGAAAGGAAAGAAAAGAAGGAAGGAAGAGAGAGAGAGGCAAGCCAAGAAACAGACTCTTGACTATAGAGAACAAACTGATGGTTACCAGAGGGGAGATGGGTGTGGGGCTGGGTAAAATATGTGATGGGGATGAAGGAGGGCACTTGCGATGAGCACCGGGTGATGCAAGGAAGTGTTGAATCACTATATTGTACACCTGAAACTAATATAACATTGTCTGTTAATTATACTGGCATTTAAAAAACAAAAACAACAAACAAATAATGGCCTGGCTCTCTTCTTTTTTTATTTTATTTTATTTAAATTCAATTAATTAACATATAGTATATTATTAGTTTCAGAGGTAGAGTTCAGTGATTCATCAGTTGCATATAACACCCAGTGCTCATTACATCATGCCTGGCTCTCTTTTTAGATTCCAGAGAAACAGAATGCCAATCCACCCAAGCAAGGGGCAGAAACTTACTAAGGGCTTTGTGATTGCAGACCTGGGACAAGACATGTCTCTCCCTTCCAGAACTTACATTGTATTTGGGGAAGATAAAACATTAAGTACAGACAAAGACACAAAACCAGTGAAGAGATGAAAGAAGTGAGGTGGACAGAGTGTCCCACAGAGTTTAGAAGAGAAGGACCACAGGGGCCCCTGGAGCAGGTTTGCGTTTCCTACCAGGGAAGGACTCGGATGAATCTTTAAGGATTTGGACGGCTGGAGAAAAACGAAGACAACTTGTCAATACTAAAGGAAGTGCATGGTCAAGAATTCTGAGACAGAAAAGCCCAAGATGCATTGAGGGTCTGGAGAAAAATCAACCACTTCATCTGAACTGGGTAGTTAGGAAGGTGAGCGATGGGAGATTTGGTTCAAAAGATAGACTGAGATCACACTACTGAGGCCCTGAATGTGAATCTAAGGAGGGTTAGTTTTTATGAAATGGGGACCATTAGAGATTTGGGAAAGGAGAAGGATTTTAGGAAAATCCATCTTGCAATGATAAGCAAGATGCATTAAGGTGGGGAGTGACTAGAGAAGGAGGTCAAGCTAGGAGGAGCTTATGTTCCCCTGATGTAAGGAGGGCAACACAAATATGAAAGGAAATCCAATCCCCTACTAAAACGTGTATCTGCAGATCCCTACGGGCCTCATGCACACAGTATTCTCCTACGCTTCCCATTCCACCAAGCAGGTAGTAAATTTTAAAAGTATTTTTCAGAAATTACAGCCAATAGTGGCTGCAGATGTCAGCCTCATAACAGAAGTTAGCCACTGAATTAGGTGCTAAAAGAAATGTTTAGATCCCTCCACAGTGTCAGCTCTAAGCAACAGAGGTATCTGCCCTTAGGATAGGGGAAGATCTCTATATCCATGCTTTGTCCACATGGAAACATCAGGTCACTCACAACAATGGAGTAGAGAAGGAGCTGATTATGAAATTAAGAATGTTTATGTGAGGGGTGCCTGGGTGGCTCAGTTGTTAAGCATCTGCCTTCACCTCAGGTCATGATCCCAAAGTCCTGGGATCGAGCCCCGCATCGGGCTCCCTGCTCTGCAGGAAGCCTGCTTCTCCCTCTCCCAGTCCCCCTGCTTGTGTTCCCTCTCTCTCTGTGTCTCTCTCTGTCAAGTAAATAAATAAAATCTTAAAAAAAAAATGTTTATGTGACTTAAAAAAATGTTTATGTGTCCCACTCTTTGAGCATCAAAACTTTCCATTATTACTCATTTATTCACTTACTCATTCAATTATTCAACAACATTTATTGAGCAGTTAAAATGTTCCAGGCACAATACCAGTAAGTAGGAGGTACAAGAATAAATAAAATAGTATGTCCCTGTCCTCAAGGGGCTATAGTAGAGGAGGCACATTTGGAACTAAATGCTTAGGATACAATCCTCTTGGCCCACTACAATTGTACTTCTGGAATTCTGTCCTTCCAAAAGACTCCCACAAGACTTAAAGACAGGTGCACAGCTGTTCACTATAGCAAAACATTAGAGCCCACCTAAATGTCTACCAAGAGTTAAATAAGTAATAGTACATCCAAATGGAATAAAGGATGAGGTATATATGGATATATACACTAAGATAAATGAATGCCCATAATTTATTGTTAAGTGAGAGAAGCAAGTTTCAGTCCAAGAACTGTAAATGATCCCATTTTTATAAAAAGAATGTGACACATACACAAAGGAAAAATTATGGAAATATATATGCCCAAATTTATAAGCAAAAACTACTTCTAGAGAAGGGGCCAGTTTTCAACAGGCATGCAATATTTCTATTTTTTTAAACCTCCACTGTTATGGAAATCTGAACCAAGTCCTACTATAGAAACACAGAAAATTAGAAAAATTAACTCTAAGTAGGGAAGACAAGGTTGGCATCCCACATGCCCCTCAATAACTTTTAAGCCACTAATTTGAATTCATATAGTTGAAATACATCCACATAAATGATACAGAGCATTAATGGTCCTGCTTAGCCTCACTTGTTTTAATTTACCTGTCAAGCAAGTCTGCAGCAGCCCAAATGAGGAAAATGTTTACCTTTCCCAGTGCAAGCCATGTCATGCCACAAGGATCTGCCTCTTTCCTCTCAATCTAGACCAAGTAAGGGGCTTTTCATTTTGTTATGCATATAATATATGCATATTGCATTGTTATGCAATGTTATGCATATGTGCAGAGAGGAATACCCAAGCACCAAACAACCAGATTCACCAGAATGGGAAAAGCAAACATTTACTGAGTGTCTGCTCTGTGCCAGGTCCTGAACTCTGCATTAGAAATGTTGAAATAAACAAGGCATAGTTTCTGTCCTTGTGATACTTAATAGTCCGGTGGGAGGCAGGGAGGTCAACAAATAGTCACAACACAGCAAAACAAATGTTAACAGACTGATGGTCAAAGTGGAATGAGGTTACAAGTGAAAGAAGCCAGATTCAAAAGGCCGCATAGTATACAATTCCATTTATAGGAAATGTCCAGGAGAGGCAAATCCACAGAGACAGAAAGCAGATTAGTTGTAGCCAGGGGTTGGGGGCAGGCGGGAAGGGGGAGTGACTGCTAGCAGGTACATGGTCTCTTCTGGGGTTAATGAAACGTGTTGGAATTGGATAGTAGTGATGGTTGTACAAATCTGTGAATATACTAAAAACCACTGAATTGTACACTTTAAAATGTTTAATTTTATGGTATGTGAATTATATTTCCATTTTTTAAGTGCTATAGGAGAACAGAACATTGGTTGTCCTTACATTTATTAATGAATTTATTTCTTAAAACTAATTGCTTATTTAGCTACGCTGTGCTTCCTATTCTCCAAGTCAAGTTTGATATCCCAAAGTTTTGGGTTTATTCATGTAGCCATCCATTCATTCATCATCTCACTATGTAAGAATTACAGGTGAATTCTTATAGAGTGATCTCTCTCTATATATATATACATACTTATAAGTTCTTATATAGTGAATCACTATGCTAGCCCTGGGAGTAGAAAGATGAAGAGTTACTAGCTTCAGAGAGCTAATACTCAGAACCCTGCTATTAGTTTTGACCCGAGCAGCTATAAAATATGAAATGGACTTTCAGAAGCATCGTGGGAATTAAGAATCATAGGCAAACCTGTGTGATTAGGAATTTGAGTGATCTGAGTGGTGACATCAATTCAAGGAATAGTTTTAAGCCAGAAAAGCACCCAGGACCGATATGCACTTAGTAAACTGGATTATATTTCTCCTATGTTAAGGTAGGATGGACACACCTGGAGATCCTTTAATCTAAACTGGATTAACTATCAAAAGGCAAGAGGCAGGCCAGATTTATTACATGTTGGCAGAAGTGACTGGTGCCCTCCTGAGGCAGCTGGAAATATAAAAAAACCAAGAGAGATGGAATCCTTTGAAGAGTGCTCAAAAAGTCAGGCAACCAAAACTGTTACCAGGGCAGTTCAGACTGGGTCAATGTTAAGATTATTCTGGGGAACAGCGCCTCCTACAGGTTTTTTCATTCGGCCTCCTGTCAGAATATTTCCA